TACTTAAGTGTATTTTTCCAGCAGATGTCAGCCTTGCACAAGAAAATGCCAAGATGCCCAGCAAAGCAGACTATGAGCCCGATCTGCATGATCACACTTTTCTGGGCAATCTATGCAATGCCCAGAATACTGGTTTTTCTCACAAACCTATCCCAACTTTTACTAAAAATTAGTATTTTAAAATACTAGAATTGAATTGCTTGGGGAAAAATATCGTTAGGAGTTACACATTTTGGGTATGCAAGTAGATCCCAGTTTCCACCAGAGCGATGTCATTGCAGCAGGAGACATTGTGGTCAGAAATGCTGAATTTTATTGAAACTAAGGCACATGTTTTGCCATATTGCAACATGTCTTAAAATCCATAGTGTCAACAGTTTAGGTGGCTGTTTTTTGCCTCCTTCAGTGAAATATAAAATTATTAAAGATAATTCTGAGCTTTACCTAAGATGGTTTACCAAATTCAATAAAATACCATAAATCCAGATATTAAATACATACGGTCTTTCAGATAAATGACGGGGAAAAAATTTAGATTTTCCTTGTATGATTACCCTGAAGAATAGGAGAACTTCTCTTCATTGACAGTGAAGGCAAGGGGTCACAGTGATTAAATCTTCCCAAAATGCCATTTTTGCATTTGTTTAATCATCTTTTCACAAAGCTATGAACCCACTCCTCTGTCAATCCACTCATCTCAACTCACTCCTCTAGGATCCTCCAGGGGATCACAGGAAGAGGGGTAGCTATGAAAGTAGCTCAGAGTTGCCAATATTAAAGTCTGTGTGATGGGAGAAACTCACTCACCACAACCAAAGGCAGAGCAGGTTGGGACAATTTTTCAGTTCTACTGAGAACCAGTCCCACTCCTGCCTTTTCCAGAGTCTGTAATTATTTCCTAGAGATAAATCATTTCCCAGCATTGTGCTGTATCAAGCCCCAGGTGTTAATCTGCTACTTGTTAACAGGTGTAGAGGACTGTGCATGGGTAGGAAGTGGTAGCAGCACTCAGCCAGCCATGGTGCATAGTTGCATAGTCCAAGTTCATTGCCCAACAACACCCAGCTGAGTAGGTGAATAGGGATTAGAATACAGCCCTACTGAGCTTGCAATGCAGAAACTCAAGGGGCTTTATCTTCTAAGAGGGAGTTTCTTTTTTTCACAAGGTGACTGACTTTCTGTGATTAGCACAAGACCAATACTGTGGTCTGGAACGTGTTACCCAAACTTCAGACTTAATTCTCAATGCAATGTACTGAGGGGTTGGTCCTTTAAAAGTGATTGGGTCATGAGGGTTCTCTGTCACAAATGGATTGATGTTACTTGAGGAGTAGGTTAGTTATCTCAGATGGACTTGTTATAAAAGCAAGTTGGCCTTGTCTTGCTCTCTTGCTCCCTCACACTCTCTTGCCCCTCCACCTTGCACCATGGCATAACTCAGCAACAAGGGCCCTCACCAGATGCCACCCTTGGACCTTAGACTTCCCAACCTCCAGAATTGCTAAAAGTAAATTTCTTTTCTTCATAAATTATCTAGTCTGTGATATTATACTACAGGAACATAAAACAGACTAAAACAGGCACCCTTTCTGTTAAAAGAAGTGCTGGCCCCAAGCCACCATCTCATTTAGCCTCTACCAAGTTCATGGGAAGGGGTAACCCTCATCATTCTTCATAATTTCCACCATTCTTGCAAGTCTCAAATTGACACCCCTCTTGGTACTCTTGCTGAGACTGAAACCCTTTGACCTTCACCAAATTTGTAAGAGGCAGGGTAAAAGAGAAAGTTTTTTTTTTGTTGTTGTTATGCTTGTTATTTTTACCAGATCTGAAGTAGCACAGGCCAATATATATTCTGTTTTCAAAGTGGCCACAGCTAGAGATGGGAAGTTTCATTCTAATGGGCAGTTCTGCTGGTGGCAGTGGACAGGAGGGATGGGGTGGGAATGCTGGTGCAGCACACAGGACAAAGAAGAAAGCTAGTCAGAGATATCTCTAATGGCCAGCAACTCAAAGCACCATCTGTTTTGAGCTTGGTGGAACCTATGTGACCTAGGTAGCTACATTCTTGCCCTTTAATACAAGGTTTTCCTATATCAACAGTAATAACAGGCAGCTCCTGTGGCTCAAAGGAGAAGAGCATTGACCCCATATGCCGGAGGTGGCAGGTTCAAACCCAGCCCTGGCCAAAAACTGCAAAAATAAATTTAAAAAAAAAACCAAAACAATAATAACACACACATAGTGATGACTACATCTCAGACACCATGCTCAGCACTTATGTGTATTAAATCATTTAATCCTATGATATGTTCTTTTATTTTTTCTCTGTCTTATAGATGATAATACTGGACACAGTTTCTTTTATACCAAAATAAATTCTGAAGAGGGGCAATCAGATTGGATGTGTAGGGAGAGTTTAGAAAATAGGGAGGCATAGGGAGAGGACATCACGAGAAGGCAATGATTGTTTTTCCGCTTCATTTACAATTCTTACCAAGGTTGTTTTGCTTCTGTTAGAAAAATATAATTAAAACAAAATCTCTTACCACACACAGAAGAGCCTATCCACAAAGGTTTAAGGGGGGAAAGATGGTTTTATTTTTGAATAAGCATTAGGCTAGACTATGAGGCACATCACAGAAAAATTACTAAAGAAATTAATTTCAAAGAAAGAAATTTCACACTTTTATATGCCCAGGCAGATAGGACCCATTACATAGATGTTGTTAAAGTAAATAATATTTTGTCCTCAGTGAGAAGACTCAACAAAACTATTTGTCACTCACACTTCACCCTAAATTGACTTGGTACTTGGGGTATCCATTTGTATTAGCTCATTGAGTTTATACAAAGGGGGGAAGAAAACTTCCCACATCATTAAGCAAGGGACCTAAGTTAGACTCCCCCTCTTCTGGTGGAGACTGGGAGATAGAGGCACTGTCTTGCTTGATAATAACATTTCAGAGGAATGGGTCTCCAGACTTTTGCCCATTTTTAGGATGATTTGTTTGCTTTGTTATTTAGTTGAAAGATTTCCTTACATGCTTGGGTATAATCATTTCTCTAAAGAAGACATACAAATGACCAACAGGTGTGTCAAAAGATGTTCAACATCACTAATTCTCAGGGAAATGCAAATCAAAATCATAATGAGATATCACCTCACACCTGTTTGGATGGCTTTTTTTTTTTAATGTTAAGTATTGGCAAGGATGGAGGGTAATTGGAAGTCTTGTGTACATTGTTGGTGGGATTATAAAATGGAACAGCTGCTATAGAAGAAAGTATGATGTTGCCTCAAAAAAATAAAATTAGAACTACTATATTATCCAGCAATCCCACTTCTGGGTATTTATCCAAAAGAACTGAAATCAAGATCTTGAAGAGACATTTGCACTGCCATGTTCATTATAGCACTTGGCTATTGTGCAGCCATTCACAACAGCTAAGAGGTACAAACAGCCTAATTGTTCCTCAGTGACTGAAGAGGTAAAGAAAATGTGACATATATGTCTACAATGAAATATTGCTTAGGCTTAAAAAGGAAAGAAATCCTGCAAGATGCAATGATACGGATGAAGTTTGTGGACATAAAGCTAAGTGAAATAAGCCAGTCACATACAGACAAACGCTGCTTGATACCACTTCTATGAAACAAATGAAATAGTAAAACACCTAGAGGCACGAGTAAGAATGTGCTTGCCAGAGGAGAGGGGGTGGGCAAGGGGAAATGAGGAATTGCTATTCAGTGGATATAAAATTTTGTCTATGCAAGATGATTAAAGTCTGGAGATCTGCTGTGCAACATTGTGTCCATAATTAACAATAACAAATTATGTACTTAAAATTTGTTAAGAAGGACGACCTCATGTTGACTGTTTTTACCACCGTAAAAAATAGAGTGATGGCTTCTGGCTCCTTGAGAAAGATCTGAGATATAAAGGGAGCAGGAGGCTATTTAGCCTTAAAAAATATTTACATGCATTTCAAACACAAAGAACTTATAAAGTGTTCTAAAAAAGTATTCTAAAGGAGAAGGATGAGGGAGGTCCCTCAAGGAAAATTAAGCTTCTTATTTGTAATGTTTGTTTGCCCTCACATGTCTACATGTAGTAGTCCCATGTGTGTAGTGATGAACCCAACTGCTCCGGTTGCTGTCAGTCAGAACACACTCTGGTCATGTCTTCCACCCACAAATTTGATGCCTTTTCCATCTTAGCTAACCACTTGTCACACATTAAGACCATAACTTTGGCAGTTTGAGGTGTGACAACAAAACTTAGGTGAATTTCTTCTTCCCTCCTCAGGGCATGGGGTTACTAGAGAACGAGGATGAGTTGGTATCCAAAGCACTTTCCGAGGGTGCAGTCACAAAGTGGTGTCACAGATCTTTCTCTGAGATCAGAAGGAAAAAAAAATGATAGTTGTGAATGTGGCTATATTGGTTATCTGGAGAAGTCAAGGAAATTTCTTCCATTGAGTTCTCTCTTTTTCTTGTGGAAATCATCATTAAAAAGTATGAGGCAGGGAAGAATAGTAAAGATCTGAGAATCCCATCTGGGGAGAGGACAAGAAAAACATTAAATTCATTGAAACACGTACTGATACCTGAATATGTGAATAACAATAGGCTCATGTCAAGGTGCAAAACATGCATGGGTGGTGGTTTGGTGATACTCTCCAGCAGCACTCAGCAATTCATGCAAAAGAATATGTCATTTACTTTTACAAATGTAAAGACTATCCCTTTAAGTATAAAAGTATACTTTTATAGGTATTAAAGAATAAGAGATGAAGTCTTCCAGGAATCTCAACTCATGATGCAAAGAGCAGAAACCTGAAGTCACATGGCTCTTTGCTGCTACTGCTAATAACTTTAAATATGTGTAGCAGTGAGAAGCAAGTCCACAGGTGGAATATGTAAGTTCCTACCAACCTCAGTGCCCAAAGATGTTTGAAAAGCTCATGGTGTGTTTCTTTTCCCTTTGCATGCTCAGCCAGAAGCAGCTTCAGGGAGCAACCTACTTCCCACCTCTTCTTGCAGAAAGTTGAACTGGCCTCAGCATCCAGGCCTTGCTCCTTGGTCCTCCAAACTCCTGAATTCAGTAGGGGAAAGGCAGCATGGCGTGTGGGAAAGAAGACCAACCAGATCAGACTTGGAACCCACATCCTGAAGCTGTCAGAAGCTGCATGTGTGCAGAAAGGCCTCAGGCACATCACTCATGTCTCTGTGCTGTCTTTTCTCTACTATGTGGGTATTAGAATATATGAAATGGACAGTAGTAAATGGAACAAAGACATAATTTTCTCCCAACCTTTAACATTGCTGAGAGGAGGATTTAAGGCTGATCAAGTTCAGAGAACAAGGTTACCACTGAAATGCTCTCAAAGGGCACAAACTAAGAGAGGAAGGAGACATCTCACCTCTTGTCTCTAAAACTATGATGTGACCTGCTGCAGGATTCCCTCTAAAACTCTCTTTATTATGTGTTCCTAATTAAATTCAGAAAATCATCCACAAAACCATAGTCCTCATTTTCTTCCTGAGGCTTCATCTGAGATCTATTGGGAGCCCTTAAATCCCCTTCTCTTTCAACCCCAAATTTTATACTCCATAGGAAAAGAGAAAAGAAAGGAAAAGAGTGTGATTCTGGGTCACTCCTTTTGGTCATTGCAAAAATATATATATATATCATTTCTGCTGGCAGAAAACAATACAAATAAAAATATTTTTTAAAATTGTGTCATGTTTTGGAAGGTATCAATAATTATTAACAACAATGGTAGTTTGCTTTGGATGGAAAATGTTTTGTTAGCAAGCAGAGGTTCAGCCATACAGTGGTCTGCCAGATAGTGTGTGGGTTCAGAGCATTTTGGACACATCCTTCCTCTGAAAAATATTAATAGAACAGGAGGGGTAAGCGATACATTTCCAGAACTGTATTACTTCATTGTCTAAAAACTATAATATAGCAAAGACCAAAAGATACAGCTTTTATAGAATTTAAGGAGAATAATAACCAAGCATGTTAAGGAAAAAAATTATACTAGACATGATGAGCAGATAGAAGTGGATTTTATTCTGATACTCTTATTGCCAGCATGAATCTCAAGAAACAAAGAACTTAGAATAAATTTTAAGGGAGGCCAAGGGTTGGTTTGGTCAAGCTGAGGGGAACTTTAAAGCTGTCTTGGTGACAAGAGAAAATGGGAGGCTATGAGATTATTTCATCTAACGAGCCTATGAGAAAGAAAATAAGCAGTAGCTGTGCAGGGAGGCCCTCTCCACATCCGGCTTCACCAGAAACAATTTCTAAATAGAGGAATAGATAACTGGAAGGTATCTGGTTAGGGTGACCAGATTTTAACATTTGTAAAGCGGGACAACATGGCCCAGGGGCAGGGCAGGGGCAGGCAGGGGACAGGGCAGGGCAGGGCACGGCCTGACAACAATGCAAACTTTGATAAGCAGTTCTCGATAATCACTTCTCAACAATTATTTGTTATTATTACAGTTTAACATTATAAAATTAACAAAAATAATATAAAACTCATATTCTGGCAAAATAGCCACACAGCAGCCCAAAACCGTATATTCCCTTCCTGTTCTCCGGCCTGTTCATGCGGGACTTTTTTAAAACGCCGAGAGACGCAGGACAAATTGTTAAAAAGCGAGATGTCTGGTCACCCTATATCTGGGGAGTGTGTCCCTCTGGAGATAGGGATCTCATTCTGGAGGCAGAGTATGGATAAGGTGACTGAAAACTCAGCACTTATCCCCAAGGCTACATCAAAAACAGGAACAAGTGGTTAAGAAGAAGAAAAAAATTATTACTCTGCTGGCAAAGGAGGAAAAATGGCAAATTATTGATCTCAAAATACTAAATTTCCTGAACACAAGCAGAAACACAGAGCTTCTAAAAATGAGGGCCAATTGTCATTCAACTACAGTTAATGATTCTCATCATCCCATCTCTGCTGAAGACAAAGGCATTTCCTCCACTCACAGGGGAGGCCCACAGGCCTGTGCCAGCAGGGCTCCCATCTCCATCTCCACAGTTCAGCTGAGCTATTTTCTATAGCTCAAAAAACAAAAGACATTTCCCTGTCCCTCCGGACCACAAGTTTCAGTTTCCAAATTGAGTGCGGGTAGTTTTAAAGCAACAAAACATTTGTGCAGTTTTTTCTGACATTCCCCCTGTTACAGCTTCCTCAGTCTCCAGGCTCTCAGGCTGCACATTCCCTTAGGAGTGACTGATGGTCCCTGGCAACACCAAGGAGGGAGAGAAACAGTGCACTCTGCCTCCCTCTCCCCCTGCCACCACACCCTCCACCAGGCAGATTCTAAAGAACTGAGATATGAGTCAGACTCTTTCACAGAAGTTTCTATTGTTAGCCCGGAGAACAAAAGCTTCCCTGCTCCTGTTACCTATCCTCTCTCCGGGATCTGCCTGAGCTCTACCTTCTCTTTCCCTGGACTACCAAGGAGGACCAGACTCCTAGGACAGCCTTCTCAGCTACAAACTGTCCCCAAGTTGCAATGGGAATGTCAGAGCCACAAGGGAACCTATTGGTCACAGCAGGACAACTAATTGTTCCCAGGCTTATCTGCAGTTCCCTCCTCTCTCAGATGTGTGAGAGAGGCGCTGGTGGGTGGCAGAGTTGCTGCACTGTTTTGGAAAATGGATTAGATGCTTGAGAATCCAGCAGCTGCACCAGTGGAGTGCCGCACTGCCGTCTCACCAATGCCCTGGGATGTGAGCTTATTTGCAAAGCAGTAAACCAAGGTTGTAAATTGACTCACTACACTACTGTGAGGTTAGTGAAATAGGGGATAATATTTCCAAGCCCGACAGGAAAACTAAGGCTGGGAAATGTTACCAGACAAAGGGTCTGGCCACTTGTCACTGTCAGCCAATATGCAGAGACAGGGATAGGTCTACCAAACTGTCTCAGAGGCCAGGATTCTAGAGAACAGTGAGAGTAGCCTCTCTAAAACTATTCCATCCTTCCATTTCCAAAATTACAGTTGTATACATGAACGTTCAAAGTAAAAACCATGTTAACTCTCATCTTAAGCAATAATCTGCATCACCCATGACCCCAAACAGCATTCTAATTCAAAAGTTAATCTCCTAAATCAATTGCCCTAAACTACTCAAGATATTTACTAACACTTTGAGGTTAAAGCTGAAGTTGCAAAACAGCAAAAATAGGAGACATGAGATAAGGTCATATAGGACCTAAACCAACCAGACTAGCTGTGTCACCTCAGCCCTAGCCTAAAGGACTCTTTTAATCTCATGTGCTGGGCAGCATCTGTGGCTCAAAAGGGTAGGGCGCTGGCCCCATACACCGGAGGTGGCAGGTTCAAACCTAGCCCTGGCCAAAAAAAAATTACTCTCATGTGCTTTCAAAATCATAGAATATCACAGCTCAAAAGGATAAGCCTGGTTATCTGATTGTAATGAATAAAAGAGACCAGAGAGATGAAATGAAGATGACCAAGACCACAGGCCAGCAGCCAGGGCTAGATCTCAGGTCCTTGATCATGAGCTGGGTCCTGTTTTCTATTACATTCATTTTATGTTTTGCCCAAGCTTTCCCCAGTTCTCCATTGTCCCCTTGTAGTACAGATTTATCTCTGCCATATAGAGAGGATACCCAAAAACGGTAAGGTCTAAGAGAACAGAGGTCTTCTCAAGGAGACTCCAAGGATACCCCTGTGAGGTCCTCCCAGCAGTGACTCCACTCTTAGGAATTTATAAAAACTTAACTTCCTGGGACCTGAAAATCAACATTTGCTTCCAGTTCTGTAAAAGCCCATGGTTCTGTGAAAGCCAGAACTCACTTCTTCAGCCTGATTCAAACTGACCAAAGAGAAAGATACCCAAGGACTGGAACTATTTGACGGGATAAGAAGGAGAAGACTGAGTCAGTGGGGGAGTATGGCCATTTTCAATTCGTTTGTGCTGTCCCTCCACCACCTGAAATAAAGCCCTTCTGCTTTTAAACACAGTGATTGGGTGTTTGTTCTCCCCACTGGGCCTCATCTTCCTGCAACCCATGACTTCTCCCAGCCATAATTGCTAACCTGCCTAACCTGGGAACTCTGCGTAAAGAAGAGAAATCATCTGAAAGATAAGATGCCCAATGGAAACAGAGCTCATATGTGCTTCCCAGAAAGCAAAGTGACCAGTATACATTTACAAATCAAAGTTCCTAAGTGAATTGTGAGGAAGGCCAGGGAAAGCCAGGGTCAGCACAGGGAGCTAGTTCAAGGAAAGTAGCATAGGTGGAGAAAGCTTTAGTAGATGGCTTTCCTCAACTGCAGAAAAGCCTTTGGAGGCTACTGGGGACCAGAACCCTCTTCCACCCAGTAGTGGGAAGGGTGAGGGGGAGTGCTGAAGTTGGGAGCAGGGATCAGAGACACTAAACTGGCTTAGACAGAATATGAGCCATTAAATTAAATAAGCAGGAGGCCATAGCCTGTGGTTATCTCTGTACATTGACTTCCTTCCTACCAACCTGCAACCTACTTTAGGAAGACAGACATACTTTAGAGATACTGCAGGTCTGGTTCCAGACTATTGCACCAAAGCAGGTATCTCAATAAATCAAGTCAAAAAATTTTTTTGTTTCCCAGGACATATTGTAGAGGCCAAGGGAAAACTTTCTTTTGCCCGCTGTAGGTTTGTTGAAAAATTAACTGACAAAGGGCAGATTAATCAGAGAAAAGGTATATAAGTTTATTAATGTGACCCAAAAATCATGCCCCTCAGACGGTTGTGTAGGGATGAGGGGAAACTTGCCCTTCCTCCAGAAAGTTCACTGAAAGACCAAGTTGAGAGTGGATACCTAAGAAGGGTGAGATCTAGGAGCACAGGTCTTCTCAAGGAGACCACAAAGATACACCTGCAGGGTCCTCTCCAGGGTGACTCAGCTCTTGAGAATTTGTAAGCTTAACTTCTGGGAACTTGACAATTTCCACTTCTGTGAAATTCTGTAATTCTGTGAGGGCTGGAATAGCATCTCCTGCTTGATTCAAACTGGCCAATGAGAAGAGTACCTATGGGATGGAACTT